ACCTCGAGAGGAAGGGGTCCCACCGCAGGTATGTTTTTTTTTTTTAATATACAGTAGACATGTTTATTTTTTGTCTCCACCGCAGGCGTGCTTTTTTTTCATCTTTGTTGGTTCCGTTGCAGGCACGTTTTTTTTTTATTTTCTGTCTTGACGTCGTTGGTTTTTGTTTGCACCGCAGGCATGTGTTTTTTTTTCTGTCTTGTCATCATTGATTTTTTAGAAAATACACGTAAACAAACACAGAAAGACTGCCCGTTCGAGAGAGATATAACCACAGTCGTAAGGGATGTGCCGAAGTTTTTACAGTGAATGGAGGGAAAACCGGCTTGGTTTCACCGCAGGTTCGTTTTTGTGCTTTCCTGCCTTTTGGCGTCTACCTGGAATGTTGTTTGTTTCCACCGCAAGCATATTTTTGTTTGCTCATTTTTTTATTTTTTTTTCGAGCAGGTGCTGCTCACTGAGTCGCGGTTCGTGCTGCCGCACGCGCTATACCTCACGGCCCACCTCTCCTACCGGCTGAGGCCCACGGAGGAGCAGCTCTTCCTGTCGTACGACCTCTGCGTTCGCGCGAAGCGGATCAGGGACTACGACTTCGACTGCCAGGTCAAGATAGGGAACCTCATGACAAGCCTGAGGCACTACATCAATGCCGTGGAAGCGGCCGCCAAGTGATGACGGGGGACGGTATGATGAAGATGACGTCATTGTTGTTATTACGACGACCGGAAACAGTAACAGTAGTTGTAGGTGTTTTTCTCCTCTCGCAGGGGTCTCGAGCATTGTCCAGCTCTCGCTATTATGCTTGGCAGCGCGTGACGTGTAGAAGAATAGACGTGTGTCTCGTGCACTATAATAGGCGTTGCTTTGCTTTTGAGTGTATTCACGTCGCCTAGGAAACGGGAAAGAGATGGTGGGATGGCGGGCGGGCGGGCGGGCGGGCGGGCGGGCTCATTTTTCGATGTAACGCGCATGTCGGCGGCAGCTTGATGCGGTCTTGTCTTTCTGGCTGGATTTCGGGCCGTTTTGTGTCGTTGTGTCCGTGTGTCGAGTGGTTGGGTGGGTGGAGCACACTCACCGCAGAGCAGCGTTTTTTTTTTTTGTTTTTGGCGCCAAGGGTGGTCTGTCGACGTAGACCCCCCCCCCCCCGCCGGTGGCCAG